CTAAGAACAGCAAAAAGATGACTGCACGAAGATAGTGGATGAGATGGCCCCTGAGTGCTTACACCTTTAAAAGGCTTTGTCTAAGAACCCTGAGCATCTTGGAAGGAAATTGCTATCCAAATGAAAGAAAGTATTGAATGGCCAAGAGGAAACAAAAAAAACTTGCCCAGTGCTTTTGTGTCCTCTTGGAGAAGTGCTCTTTTGAAGCTCGACTTTTCTCTTTCCCTTTGGCACTGATTTTTTAAGCAATTCTCACATTTTTGCCAAAGAACAGCAAGGGTTGGCTGGGCCCTGTTATTTCACCATCCTGTGTAAGAACCAGTTTATGAAATTCCACGAGAACTTGGGTGGGTTAAACCTGAGACCAGTACTTGGAAACCAGTCCACTGTGATTATCCACCTTGGACCAATTGGACTTAATTTGAGTCTCCCCTCTTCCCACTGTGGACTATTCTCAAGGAAGGGGGAAGAAGCCTATGGAATAGGTAAGCCCGGAGTGTGGAAAATGAGCAGTTGGCTTTAGAAGCAGCAGCAGGATCCATGTACCAGCCCCAGGTAGAACGTAAAAGACGAGAATTACCACCTCACACTTTCTTTGCACTTAGGTGGGTGGTCAATTACAAACAAAGGGGTCAGAAGTTCTGCTGTGGCCAAGGGTGAGCAGGCCATCCTTTGCTAGCAGGACTGCAGGAAACAAGCCAATGATAGGGCTAGCAGAGGCTGCTGGTGGAAAGGGGGATGTGTTGCCAGGTGATGAGACCACCACTCAGCAGTTCTGGGAGGAGTAGCTCCCTTGGCATCTCCAGCCCTGCCCTGGTCAGGATGGGCTTCACAGATCTCTCTGACTTTGGAGTACCCTGGGCTAGACTGCCTGCCAGACCTCGGTGGCCCCTGCTCTGCCCTGACGGCCTCTTGCGTCCCTGCCTTAGTCACTTACTAACACAGAACATTTTGTGAGCAGTTTGCTGCTATGTTAGTTTTGTTATCTTTTCAATCATTCAACAAGTTCTGATTGGGAAAGTTGCGGCAGGTGTTTCTCTAGGCACTCGGGGTAGAGCCGTGAGCAAGATGAGCTTTAATGGGATGTACATTCTCAAAAGTGGGAAGATGAAGTTAGTAAGTAAGCAGGGGAAATAAATAAGACAGATTGAGAGAGCAACCAGGAGTGATAGACATCTCAGTTATTAGCTCTGATGCTCAGGACAGCCAGCCCTGTGGGGAAGGTGTTTTGTGCTCATATCTGCTGTCTGGCAAGGAGACTACAACTCTGCGAGAGGAAGATTTGTCCAGGGTCACAGAGCTAGCAAGGAGTAGAGCAAGCATTCAAGCTGCTTGTATTATTATTACTATTGTTGCATAACTTGTTACCCTAAAACAGTGGCTTAAAAGAATAATCATTTATTATCTCATGGTTTTTGTGGGTCAGGAACTCAGAGGACTGGGGAGATTTGAAGGCTGGGGCCTGGAGTTATCTAAAGGGTCTAAAGTGGGTGTGGGCTGAGAGCTGGAACCCCTACACATGGCCTTTCCATGTGGCGTGGGATTCCTCATGATGTGGTGACTATGTTCCAAAGGTGAGTCGAGAGAGAGACAGACAGACAGAACGAGAAATCCAGCTAGGTTGAAGCTGTATCATTTTTCTGGTGTAGCCTTTGAAGTCACATAGCATCACCTCTGCTGTATCCCAATCGTCCAGGCAGACAAGGCCTTGCCCAGATTCAAGGGGAGCAAACATAGTCCCCAACTCTTGGTGGGATGAGTATCAGACACACTGTAAAAAGCATGTGGGATGGGATCAATATGCTGTTGCAGACTTCTTTGGAAAGAACAATATGTCACATCTGGTCTACAGACTTCAAAGCCAGTGTTCACTCCACTTCACACACCGTCTACTCTCCCAAGCTGATCACCCAGTCCTGTCTATTTGCTAGCTTTCTGCCTCTGACCAGCCTTTGGTTCTTGCTGGACGCCTCAGGGCCAGCAGTAGTCCCATACCTAGCCCTTTCTGCCAATTGTGGCTCCTCCCACGGTCCACCGTAATTTTAGTCACTCTGGACAGGCACCTTTTTGTTTATTCACTCAGGCTTTTGAAGCAGAGAGTTCTGTTCCTTTGCACTTCATGGTCCATGGACTTGAGGGAAATCAGAGTATGGACTTACTGATGGCTTATTCCCCAAAAGTGGTGATATTCAAAATACTTTATCAATATGGTATCCACTTATATGGTGCTCTGGAGCACAGAAGGAAATGCTAGAGACTCTCTCACGAAGATAACCAGCACAAGTGGCCATAGCGGCGGAATACATTGAGGTCTACATAGGCCAGACACTGTGCTGGGGACCGATAGTGTAGAGAGGAGACATATGTGGAAGTAATACAGCATGCAGAGTGCCCCCTCCAGGTGTGTGTAGAGGGGTGGAGGGCAGGAAAAATAATCTTTTTCCTCTATTCATCTTAGGTTCTTCATCTGGGGCCCTGTAAATTAGACTGGCAAAAAACCAGATGAACAAGAGAAAAACAAACAAGTTTATTAATATGTGCATCGCTTATATACATGTGGGCACCTAGTGATGGGTAACCCAGGGGTGGTTAGAACTGGGGCTTGTATTCCATCATTGGCTAAGCAAAGGAAAAGGGGTTTGGGCTTCTGGGTGGGGGAGGAAGGTTATGGGAAGCTACTCAGGAAAAGTGTAAACAAGGGTTGTTTAGTGAGGTTTGTTATGCAGATTTAAGTCTCGCCTTCTTCATAAAAATTGCTGAGTCCTCTTCCTGCTACAGGAGAGGGAGGCACCTTTATAAATGTAAATTTCCTTTACAAATGGAAAACTTGTGTCCTGTTTTTAGAGCTTTTTCTGCACCTGCTGGTTCTCAATAGCCTTTAGCTCAAAATAATTCATATTCCGAAGAGGCCTATTTTGGGGTGGCATATTCTGGTACCCTTCAAGGCTGAGTGATTAATTCCGCCTAAGGGAAACCAGGAAGGCTGGCTTCACTGAGGGCTGGAGGGATGCAACAGGAGCTGGGCCCCACGCATCAGTACTTATCCTTGATTCAGTGAGAGCTTCAGATGGTGACCATACTTGAATAGGCAACTAAAACCCTGAGGTTTTTGAATAATGTCCATTAAATGCTTCCAACTCAGGACCGTATTGTATTAGGTGGTTAGGTAAGTGGCCGCCATCTTGGGACCTAAATCTTGTCATCTTACAGTGTCTTTAAGAGATCCCTTTTTCCAGTTCTATCCAATTCAGTAGTTTCTATAAATTTCTAAAATAATCCATACCTTTCTCCTTAATCATTTATCTCCCTGGTGTAACTCCTTCCCTCATATCTTCCCAGCTTAATGCGCAACTTGCTTAACTCTTTCCATATTGTAAATCAGCAAATATTTCGTATTAATTTTGTTCCCTCTGCTGTGGTTCAAACCTCTAGGAAGAATTCTCTGCTCCCCACACCACCTAAGCACTCATACACTTCATCCTTTTATTTTGTATTCCTTTGGCCTCTAATTTGCCTCCAACTCAGTTGTGTCTCGGTTACTTATGCTGGAAATATGTCTCTGACCACCTCTATCTTCTCTGGACACTTTGAGGGTTGTGACTGAGTAAACTTATGTTGGATTTTCTTCTGGAGTATCTGATAGATAGCTGTCCATGTAGAATTAATTCAGAATAAGATGTTGGTTCTAAAGCCTATGTTAAACCATTTATTGAACAAATGAGGTTTCATTAAAACAGATTCTTTTAGATTGCTTCATTTAATTCTCTGTTGTATTTTCTCTAGAGTTTGTCTAAAGAGGATTTTACTGTTCATGAATATCAGTGCCTCTGAGCATAGAGAGTTGATAAACAGGCAAAAAAGAATAGAGGTTTCCAAGTGCCAGTGAGAGAAAGAGGATGGAGGTGGTCATGAGAAAAAAAATTACGTAAGTGATTTGAAAAGTGGAATTAACGTTAACATTTCTTGTAGGGCTGAGATTAGGATTATTAAATATAAATGAGGGATCTACATTAAGATTAGGACACAGTTTAATAATGAGGCTGAGGAGACAATAAGATTAGTACACAAATGGCTAAAATGAAGATTAGGATTAAAATAGGTTAATGCTGCTGTTCTGTGCTGATGCCAGGGTAAATGTTGAGTCAAAGCCATTTTGTGTTGGAACTAGAAAAAAGGTAGGATTTCCCTTTTTCTTATTTTATCAGCATGTACCCAAAGAGAACTTGGTACTGTTGCTATGACCGTGGAAAAGCTTGGAAACAGCATCTATGAGATAAGGTACCTGCAGAGCCCTTTACACGTTATTTGGAGAGATTCATTCATTCCTTCATTCACCCATTCATTGATTTATAGAATTAAACGAGTGCCAATTTTCTGCAATATTCTGGTCCTTGCCTTCCTGCAGTCTGAATTCGAGTGGGGGACCTAAGCCAGGAACACACACCATGAGCTGTAAAAAAACTTCCCAAGCATGCTTTGTTTCTTGTTCCCATGAGATGCTATGAGGCACTTGATAAAACTCTTATTCCAGGGAAGCAAACCTCCAGCTGGGGGATTGAGTTAGATGTATTTTTAGGTTGGGATGATTTCCTCAAAGTTTACCGAGAGATGGAAGCTTCTCACCTGGGCTGGGGAGGCACCGTTTGTACCAAAAGAGCACGGAGACTTGAGTCAGCCCTCCTGGGTCCAAATCTCTGCATTTTAAATCTGCTACTTAAACACAGTGTCTTAGTTTCTGCATCTGAAAAAGGATAATAATATCTGCTTCCTAGTGTTGTTATAGGGATTACATGAGTCAATATGTGTCAATCGCTTTAAATGGTACCTGGAATATCATAATCAATATGTAAATACTTAATAATAACAATTCCATAATTATGATCTTTCTGAGCAGAGTACAGAACTGATGACCTTTAGAGAGGTCTTAGGTCAGGAGTCTGGGATGCCACATGCAATTCCACATTTTGCCAGTAGATGACAACAAAGTCTGCATTGTCAGAATTGTCCTGCCAGCCTAAACATTAAGATGTTTCCGCTCTGAGCTGTTTGCCTGTGATTTGCAGGCGCTGTAAAACAAGAAATACTAGGACTGGAAAGTTAAGCTTTCTCCCTAAGGCTCTGTTCTGGCTTCCAGCCTGAAGACACTCGGATGTTTGATTACAGTATAAAAGCAACAGTATGTATTTGAGAGGTTGACTGAAAGCAGGGGGGCCTGGATTTTAGTTCTAATACTGTGGGTTCTTGGGTGAGTTTCTGAACCTACCTGGGTTTCAGCTTCCCCTCTCCCTTGCTGTCATTTGGGGGGTAAAATAGAATAAGCATGCAAAACAGACACATAAGGAAATGGAAAAAACTTGAGGGAGAAGCAAAGAAGATATGGTAGGAATTAGAAATGGAGGTGAAGAAATAATGATGTATGACCAGGAAGATGAATTAAAAATGGAAATGATAAAATTAGGGACCTCATGGAGGCGAAGACTGTTAATAATGAAATAGAGAAAAGAGAAAATATTAAATTTGATTCGTATAAGGTTTCATATGGAGATACGTGCCTCCTCTTACCACATTTTCAGCTTCTGTCTCTTACACGTGCGTACACACACTCACACATATGCACACACACGTGGCTATCACCAATTACTGTGGCTTGACGGATGTGGAAGGGCAAGAGTGTGGGGAACACAAACTTCCTGACAAAAGCACGAAGAATCTCCTGTCGGTGTGAAAGCACATCAAGCAGCTCTCCCTCGGCTCTCCCTGGAGACCCCGTCCTTCCCCAGCAACCTCCTGAACGCCCTCTTGACTTCCTTGTTCCTCAGGGTGTATATGAGAGGGTTAAGTGAAGGAGTGCCCACTGCATAGAAGAGACCAAAGAATTTGCCCCTCTTCTGAGCATACGGATCTTTGGGCTGGAGGTAGACAACAATGGCTGAGCTGTAGAAAAGAGTGACCACAATGAGATGGGAGGAGCAGGTCCCCAAAGCCTTTCTCCATGCTATGGCAGAGTTAATCCTCAGCACTGCCTGCGCAATAGCACTGTAAGAAGCAAGGATGAGGCTGAGGGGCACAACCAAGATGAATACACTGGCAACAGCCATCTGGATCTCATTGTATGTGGTGTCCCCACAGAAGAGTCTAATTAAAGCTGGGACCTCACACAGAAAATCATCCACCTGCTGGTGGGGGCAGAAGGGCAGGCGGAGGGTGGGTGGTGTCTGGATCACTGACTCCACCAACCCAATGACCCAGGCCACAGCTGCCAGCTGCCAGCATAGGCGGGGGTGGATGACGGTCGCATAGTGGAGGGGCTGGCAGACAGCCACGTAGCGGTCAAAGGCCATCACTGTCAGGAGGATGCACTCAGTGGTCCCCAGGAACAGAAAGGTGAAGAGCTGGACAGAGCAGCCAAGGAAGCTGATGGTCTTCTTTGGGCCCCAGAGATTGACCAGCATCTGGGGGACACAACTTGTGGTGAAGCAGAGGTCCAAGAAGGAGAGGTTGGAGAGGAAAAAGTACATAGGAGAGTGGAGCCTGGGGTCCAGCACAGACAGCAGGATGATGAGTGTGTTGCCCACCAGAGACAGGAGGTAGGAAGTTAAGACAATGATGAAGAGGATTCTTTCAAGTCCTGGGTATTCAGAGAAGCCCAGAAGGAGGAAGCCCACTGGGGAGCTTTGGTTGACCATGGCCTGCTCCTGTCCAGACCCAGAAGGATAAGCGATGTCAGAGCAGTGTGTTCCAACCTGTCTTATCAAATCACCGTGGGTACTTGTCAGGTTGTAGCAGGTGGACGTTTCTCTTCCCTTCCTCTCTCTCTAGGCAAGCCACCATCCAGCAGCTCCTTCTCCCGCCCAGTTCCTCCCGGTCAGACGTTGACTAGTGCGAGTAAGGAAATCGTGGATGTGCTGGAAAACAGATGGAGCCTCACACTGGCACCTCAGACTTACTGGTTTAGAGTAAAGGAGGTGATGTAAAACATAGATTAATTAACTTTAACTAATTCAGCACACCTTTATTGAGTGCCACTATGTTTTGAGCACTGTTCTATGTGTTGCATTGTCCCTGTGTGTTTGTGGAAGAACTAGCAAAGCAATATATTTTTTTTTGGAGGAAGATTAGCCCTCAGCTAACTACTGCCAGTCCTCCTCTTTTTGCTGAGGAAGCCTGGCTCTGAGCTAACATCCGTGCCCATCTTCCCCTAGTTTATACGTGGGACGCCTACCACAGCATGGCTGCCAAGCAGTGCCATGTCCGCACCCGGGATCCGAACCAGCGAACCCCGGGCCGCCGAGAAGCGGAACGTGCGAACTTAACCGCTGCGCCACTGGGCCGGCCCAGGAAAGCAATATATTTTGAATGGATTTTCTGACTATGAATTATCTCTATAGCATTGATCATTTTTCTATTGGTCATACGAATTTTGTAGAGCTATTTTTATTCCATTTATTTATGCTTCTTTATTTGCAAGGGAGCTTATCAGAGACACTTGTTATATCTCTGAGAGAGATTTTCCCTTGATGTCTAGCGACTCTGTTCCCACACAGATCAGTTTGGTTGCCTAAGTCTCTGAACCAGGTGTCCTGGTTGGGGGAATTGGTCCACATGCTCATTTCCTGCCATGAGAAGTTTACAGGCAAGAGGTAAGTGTGGCCCCATGCACATTAAAATCACTGAGAAACTCACAGGAACATTATCAAAGACTCTGAGATTTAAAGGTCAGTAATTTCAACATACTGAGGGAATGAGAGAAAAGGGTCTGTCAGATGAAGGACCAATTTAGGTGGATATATCAGGGAAAGCTTCCTAGAGGAGGTGGCTGGATTTTTTTCTATAAAGGAGAGCGGTATTGGGGCATAGAAGGCCAACTCAGAGATAGGGTGAGAGGCTGCAGCCTCTCTGGCAGTTGGGAGATAAGGACTTGGGTTCTGTGGTCCCAGGAGATCTTAGGAAGGCCATTGGGGGGGGTGGTGATAGGCGAGAGGGTGGGACAGCTGACCACAGTGCCCTGGGAGCTTATAGGGCGGCATGAGCATCTCCCATCGCAGGGTTCCCATTTTGTGTTTAAGCTCTCCCACGTCTCCTTTGTGCCAGAGATTTCGGCTTTTGTGTCTTGGTTTGTTCTTTATTTTTCTCCCATTGTTTTTTTTTTCTCCCTTATGGGATATATTTAAAGAAATTTTTCATATTTTTATATATTCAAAAAAAGTGTGAGTAAAGCAAATCTCTATAGTTTAATGAATAATAAAGTCACCCCCTGGTATGCCCACCAACCAGGTTAAGGAACTGAGCAAACGTTTCAAGTAGCTTAGAATCTTTGGGCGCCCCTCCCTGACTGCTCAATTTCCCACCCCTCTCACCGTTCTGAATTTTTAATTAATTATTCCTTTCTCTTCTTTTTTTGTGATATATTTCACATACCATAACATTCACTCTTTTTTTAATTCACTTTTTTAAAGTGTATAATTTAGTAGTTTTTACTGTATTCACAAGTTGTGCAACCAGTGCTATCAACTTTCAGGACATTTCATCACCCCAAAAAGAAACCTCGTGCTCATTAGCAGTTACCACTTCTTTTTTTTCTTTAATATAAAATTCTTTGTAACTCTAAACAACAGCCAGCTGTTTCTTATTCTTCCGCCAACTGTCATCCTAATCAATTTTTTGCATTTCTAACTTTCTCGTTCTCTTGACATTTCGCTTTCTCTTTCTCTGCCTTATTTTTGAATCTCTTTAGATTCCGTCTTCCTTAATGACTCTCCCCCTTTTCTCTCTTTTACTCTCTGTCTTTTCCACTCTTTCTTTCATTTACCATTTTTCTCCTAGTCCTTTGCCCTCTGACACATTCATTCATTGGTTTACGCATTTATTAATTTTTTGAGGCTCAAAAGTGCCAGCATTGTGCTAGGAGAGGGGGCAGGGGTTGGGCGAGTGTTTATGATACTTAAAGTCGTTTATGATAATCCAGTGATCTTTACCTCCTATTGCTCTCAGTAGCTACCATTTGTTGGGTGCTTCTTATGTGCCAAACGTCGTGCCCATCATCTCCCTGATCAACTGGTTCTCATCGCAACCCTGCAAAAAAAAATATTGTTACATCAATTTTACCAAGAAAGGAACAGTCTCAGAGAGGTTAAGTAACTTGGCTAAGGTCACCTAGCCAGTAGGTGCCAGGGTCAGGATTCTAGACCCTGTTTAACTCCAAATCTGGTGTTCCACTATTGAGGACATGTGGAAACTGATGTCTCATTGGAGAAGAATGAGTTTCTACTTACCCTCAATCAAATAAAAATCTCTTCTGCTCCCAGTGATGATGAAACCCAACTAGTGCCTAGCCTCCATTTGGACATCAAGAGGAAAACAACAAAATCAAGAAGAATGGGCAGTTATGTTTCTAGTCATAATAAGGATTGCTAATACTTCCTACCAGGTACTTTTCTAGGCACACATACATGTGACGTGCTGGAGCTGGCTCATATTAGCTCTTAACTGTCTAATTTTCAGGAATTTTCTGAGACAAGTATTAAACCATTGGTAGCTTGAATCAGCCATGGCAGGACTATTTACACTATAGAAATTGGCAAACCCTTCGGATTAGAGCTCTGCCTCCCTCCAACCAAGCTGGTTGTTAAGCATTTATCAGCACATCTCTGATTATCCCTCACAACAATTCCACGTGTTATCTTCCTTTTAATGTTAAGAAATTGAAGCAAAGAAAGTTTAAATAACTTTCTCAAGACAGTATAGTTAGTAAGCAGCCGAGCTGATACTTGAACCTAAGTGGACTGGCTGCAGAGGCTGCACACCAACCATGGCCCACGAAATCTCTGCAGGTAAGATGAGGCCAAAGGAAGTCAGAGTCACCTTTTTGGAATGGCGCTCATTGCGAACAACCTTTCCCCTTAGTCTGGAGAGAACTTAGCCTGTTTTAGTGGCACTGGAGGTGGAAAGGTTGACATGATGCGGTGGTAGAAGGAGGGATCCCAGGGCTCCCATCCCATGGAGAGGAAGAGCTCATTAATTCTGTTAAGGCCCTGGGGTCATACAGCCCATAGACAATTAATTAGGCATGAATCATTGTGGCAAGGGGCCAGGGGAGCATCTAGAGGAAACATGCCAGCAACAGTCATCACTGTGGTGGGTAAAAAGGTCACCCACTGCTTCTTTCTGTCAATAGGAAGAATAAGGTGGTCTCTCCTCCCCCCACCGCCAGAGAGTCCCCCCAGGCTTCCAGATATTCCTTTCAAGCCTCTGATTCATCCATTCAGGACCCCACTTATAATTTTCATTATTATTTTTAAAAAAGTCATGGGGCTGGCCTGCTGGCATAGTGGTTAATTTTGCGTGCTCTGCTTCAGCGGCCCAGGTTTGCAGGTTCAGGTCTCAGGTGTGGACCTAGCACTGCTCATTAAGTGCTGTGGTGGAGTCCCACATAAAATAGAGGAAGACTGGCACAGGTGTTAGCCCAGCGACAATCTTCCTCAAGCAAAAAGAGGAAGATTGGCGATAGATGTTAGCTCAGGGCCAATCTTCCTGGTGACCCGCCCCCAAAGGTCATAATTCTATAAAACTTGTTTTTTATTCTTTCTTATGGCCATCTTTTTTTAGGCAGTTCAAAATTTTACATAATGACTGAAATAGGATAGTCATGGATTTGTTTGGTCTTGATCAGGGGAAAAAGTAGTTAGAAGCATAGACTTTTGACATATGTTTATCCCAGAAATATTGACACTATTATAATATGAAATGTCCAAAAAGTTATTTAATATAACAGTTATCCTCAATAACTAGTCCATTTCATTTTCAAATAGTATTTAAATTTGTTTATAATACTTGAAATCTTGTAAAACAAAGAACGTCTTTTATCTGTAGATTCTGTATAATTTAAAGTGATTGTAACTTATGGTGTTTCAATTGCATTTTTACAGTTGGGGAACCTAATAGTAAATATAAATATAACTCACTACGTGTGATCACCAGATTAAAACTTAATATGTACCAATGAGGTCTGCATTATTTTGTAGTTATTGACGAGTGGTGCTTAATACTGGCTGCCAGCAGAGGGCGCTTTCAGGTTTACATGTTGGAATTCCGAGACATTGGGGGCCCCAGAGTCTGGATTTTGTCTTCAAACTGTTTTCTTAAGAGTGAAGACATTTCTAACACTTACTTTTATTTATTCATTTCATTTTTAAAAACTAGCAGATAATCGACATATAATGTTATAGTAGTTTCAAGTGTACAACGTAATGATTTGATGTATGTGTGGGAGGATCACCACAATGAGTCTAGTTAGCATCCGTCACCACACATGGTTACAAATTTTTTCTTGTGGTGAGAACTTTTGAGGTCTACTGTCTGAGCAACTTTCAAGTATGCAATAGGGTGTTGTTAATTATAGTCACCATGCTGTACATTACAGCCCTAGGACTTATTTATTCTCTAGTGGAAAGTTTATTCTTTCGACCTCTTTCATCCGTTTTGCCCACCTCCCACCCCCCCCAGGGTCTCACTTTTAAAAATTCTCAACTTCCTCCTTTTCCGTTTAATTTTTCTCTCTGAGTTGGCCTACACTGTAGTAACACAGAATTATAAAACCCTAGGAAGAGCATTTAGGGCATTTAGTCTAACCCTCATATGATGTAGCTGAACCATTACCATGCCCCTCCCTCATCAGAGTGAGGGCACAAGGGGTCAGCTAATAAATGGCATCCTAGCCCAGGGCCAGATCGCAGTGAATCCACTGAGTCCATGGACCCATCCGCTAGTCATTTCCGCAGTCCTCAAATGTATAATTGGAATGCAAATACTTGGTAGTTGGCAGAATCCCCTCTTTGGTTTTTTGGTCTGTGGACTAAGAGATGGTAGGCGGAGGCCCAGCAGAATCCTTAAATCTGCACCCCTGTTCCCAAGAAAGACAGGAAGTCAAGAACAATATCACAAAGGAAATGGCGGAGATTGATGCCACTTTAAAGGATGCAGAGGTGGTCGTCCCTATAATATCCCCCACTTAATTCACCAGTCTGGTCACTACAAAAACCAGATGGATCTTGGAAGACGACAGTGGACTACCACAAACTCAACCATGTGGTAGACAAATTGCAGCTGTTGTGCCTGATTAACATG